ATTGGAATGAAGGCAAGAGTTTTCACTTTGCATTCGGGCAGACCTGAACTTCAATCTTAGCTCTCCAACTTATTAGGTACATGCAAGATATTGTATTTTACTTTGCTCTGAAGTTCAACAAGTTTCTGATTCTCGTGTTGCTATTAGCCTTATACTAGACCAGGTAGTATTGCTTGTTTTTTTTTTTTTCCTTATATTATTGTTCATTTGCTGACTATTAAGAGTCAACTGGGCTAAGATCCAAAGTTAAGCCTTTACAGTATAGAGCCTTTCTACCTTATAGAAACATTATCAATTCGCAACTTTATTTGTTTTAGGTATTATGTTCTTAGTTGTTTTTAAACAACTCTGGGAAGCTCAATGTGTTCTCTAGGAACATCCTTTATATTTTCTGCCTGTGTTGGATCCCTGAAAATATCTATAGGTGACCTCTCCTCATGAACGGGCTGTGATGAGTAGGGTTTATAGGTTGTCCTGACTGATTCTAATATGCTAATAAGAAAATAAAATTCTTATTAAGTGTTATAGCCTGGAAGATGCTTTCCATTACTTAGAAGTCTCCCTTTTATGTCACCATTGCTCTCCCCTACTCCCCAACAAACAACCCATAAACAGTAGCAACTGCTCTAATATGCTTTTACTAGCCCTGCTGAGAGTTTAACTGTTTCTAATTTGTTTATGTACGAATTATATATACATCATTTATCTTTTTTGTTCTCAGGTGACCATTAATCATTTATTATTAGAAATTACAGGAAAACACTTTTTTTTTTCTAACATCGAGTTTGAGAGAAAAGTAAATTCTATTTTACTTAATTCTGGTTTTAAGATTCTCATGTCAAGTAGTGGTCCCATGAAAAGAATGGTCATCAAATGTGAAGTTTTTTTATTGGTTAGAGATAGACGCTTACATTTCAACTGACCTTAAAGTATACAGATAAAAATTCTGATCCAACAAATTATACATTTTAAGTTTATTTTCCAGTAGTAGGTGGTGAATGTTCATGGAATTATGCCCTTCCTTCTGTTGATCACAGTGCTGGCCAATAGAGTGTGAACATTAAGAATGGCTGGGATTGAGCCCATGGAAATGGAATCAGGAAAACTACCAGCTTTAATTATGTTCAAACCCCCAATTTCAGATTCTTTTGTGCTCTACTCACTTGAGCTAGACATTCACAAATATTTTGATAGACAACATTTTGGAATAAAGCAAGAACTTCAGTGTTATAAATGCTTATGGACAACTTAGCACACCATGATTTAGAAAGTGAAGTATGTCATCATGCTTGATGATATAAATGAGAATAAAATGAGAATTTTATTATCTGTTCTCTCTTTCGAAAATCAAAAGTAGGGAGATCAAAGTACACTTTGAGCTACAGAAATGTATGATATGAGCTTATTAATAAAATGGGATAATAAAAATGTCATTGATATGAATCTCATGTTACCTTAGAAGCAGTTTCACAATATTCCAGAATTTTAAAGTTTGAATGACTTTTTGAGATCATTTGGCATCATTAGCTTTCTCAGTTTGACAGTGAAGATTTTGGGCAGTGCAGGTTTAACTATGATTCAAATTAACCCAGAAAATAAACTAATAATTTAGTTCTTCAAATAATTTAGTTCTTCAAATAATTTAGTTCTTCACTCCCTAGGGTATTATCATTTGTTCATAAAAAAGCCTATAAAATATTGTTTCCAGACCGTGGTATGATAACCACACATACACACATCTTAATGGTAAAACAAAGTGTTTACAAACAGGGTGATGTTATTTCCTACTATTTTTCCTTATTTTCTGTTATGTAAAACTGGATGCTAGTCCTCAAAGTAATTTTTTTAAAGTTTCTCTTACTTTTTCTTCAATTATCTGTTTTACTTTTTTTTTTTTTTTTTACTTTTTTCTTCTGGGAGGAAAATACTTTGTACCTATAAGTATCACCAATTATTCATTGACTCTTGCTGAGATTTATGGCATAAAAAGAATAAAAGTAATGTTAAATAAAAACTATAATAAATTTCAACTTTATATAGAATTTTACATTTTATAAAGCACTTTTATGAATTTAATCACCTCCAATTCTCAAGACAACTGTATGAGTTAGAATTTATTGCTCATATTTTACCAATCAGGGAAGTAAAGCTTGAAGAATTTTTGGCCAGGCACAAATATCATACTTAACTAGTGGTGGAGACCAGACATCAGAGCTCTGACTAAAGCCTGAGTACTTTCTCGGGCTCCTTACTGCAGCTTCTTCAGTATCTTAGTGTGTTTGTACCCCTTTGCTCTGCATTTACAGGTCTCTTATGTAATTTAGACTTATATACTTGAATTTAGTTAGCAAGACATGGAAAATGCAGAGCATTAAACTATATCGTGATACTATAAATGTATCATCAGTCCGCTTATCTAACTAACTTTATTATTGAATACCATGTAATTTATTTTCGGTTAATCCCAACATGACTTGGTTGCTACAGATAGCACTGAAATACAGTGACTATAACCTTATTCTGTTAACTATAAACAGTTAATGTTCCAAAATCCTTACAAGTACTGATGTAATGTCTCACCAGAGACCCATTTCCATCCATAAACCCTGACCTTGTCTTCAAACCCTCAAACAAATTATTTTATATTTTCTCTAAGGTAGAATATACCTTTGTATTTTGACTGCAAGTTTTACTTTTGGAAACAGCCAGGATTCATTTGGGGTTCAGTCTGGTGAAGAAAGTTGATGACCAAGTATAATATATGTTCTAGAAGTAAAATAGTTCCAGTATTAGTAAGGCCTTAAGCAAATACCAAATTTAAAGCAAGTTATATTCTTTTGAAATCACTGTGATTTTCTTTTTAAATAAACTGAAACAAATTTACTACTTTAGTGATGCTATCATTGAGAGACATTTTGTCTCTGTTATCACATTATTATATACCACTTTCTCTAATCTTTTCTAATTCACTTTTTCAATTGATCTAGGATATCTAGATTACTTATAAAATGTCACATTAGCTACTATTACAGATTAATTTTGGGAGGAACAAGCCTGTGTGTGTGTGTGAGAGAGAGAGAGAGAGAGAGAGAGAAAGAGAGAAGCATTAAAGCATGAGCAAGAAGTGAAAAGTGAGAAAGTAACAAGAAGCCTATGTTAACTCTAACTGGAGTGTTTGACTTGCTTCAGGAAACTTTCAAGACACGTACCATAAAATACACCAAAAAACTAAAATAGTTTAAAAGCTCTATTCATCAACTCTCTAAAACTGCTACCAATTCATTAATGAAGGTCTTGGTAAAATTTAAAAACATGCTATTGAATTGCACTTTTTCCTTTAGTTAGCAATTTTAAGATTTTTAATACCATCACTATTTGTGAAAACAAAACCCTGCCTCTGCCCTGATATCAAGTCAAACACAATCTAAGAAGTATGATATCTGAAAACAGAGTCAATTTCCAAAACACAACTCAACGAAAATTAGTATTTTTGTTTTGAAAACATTTTTCTTGGCATTGCACTGATAAACACTGAAATAGAAAGGTGCTTCAAGAAGTTTTCTGAAAAATTGTAGGTTTCAGTCAGGTTTTACCTTTGAAGCCAGAGTTTCTTTACTTTGAAGGACTTGCAAACAATCTTTCAAGCAAAGGGTGGTGTCAGGAGTCCTCTAAGTCCCCATTTATATTGCAGGTGAGTATAGAAATAGAGTGAACGAGGGAGAATCTATCTAGAGGCTTGATATGGAAAGAGCAGATCTTTACTCTTAAAGCCGTACTAGTGAGCTATGGGAACCTGGCTGGGTGCCTCCTTCCCCAACTCCATTAGGAGACATGACATGAAGAAAGTTCCTAAAGTTTAGAGTGGAGATAGAAGAAATAAGCTACATTTCCGGCTTCTGGAGGGGAGATCATAATGCATTTCCAGAGTAATCAAACCAATAACAACAGTACAGAAAGCACATATAGAATAAAATGGCTTGTTTTGGCTGAAGCAAGCCTTCCAATCATACATATATAGTAGTTTCTAAGAGAAATGTGTTTCTACCAAGGGACAGAAACTTCACCCACTGCAGAGAAAGCTGTTTCATCACTATAGGTAATATGAGTTCTTCTCAGCATCAGTATCAATAACCATCGTCATCATCATGATCATCTTCATGACTAATGCTTACTGGACATATGCTACATTCCAGACACTTATCTGAGTACTTTACACACATTAATTCATTTAATTGTCACAATGTTCCTATGAGGTACAAAAGATTTTATCTCCATATAACAGAAGGAGGAACTGAGAGGTAAGAAGGGAACCAATATGCAAAAGGTTTCATAGGTAGTAATCAGTGCATTCAGAATTCAAGAATACTCCATCTGACTTAAGAGTTTATGTCTTAATAATTAAACTATCTTGTCTACCAGTAGCAGTTCTAGAATCAGACAAAAGTGGTTAAATTATTAGGTTTGCCATTCATTAGTTTTGGGAGTATGATCAAATAAGGGACTAAGTCTCAGTTTCCTCATCAATAGAATTAAACAAATTATAATAAAAATTTCACAAAGATGGGGAAATTTTAAACAAAAGGATTAGGCAAATGCTTCACATAATATTTAAAAGTGAAAATTAACCTTAAGATACCAAAGCAACACTTCAGTAATTTGTGTGTGTGTGTGTGTGTGTGTGTGTGTGTGTGTGTATGTGTGTGTGAATGTGACAGGAAGAATTAATCAAAGTTGATGTTTCCTCAGATATTAATTTAGGCACTTTGAATATTATGTTGATTGATCAGCAGTCAAAGATGCTTTTAAGTGTTTAATTAATTTAGTTGATGGGATAAACACTGTCAGAAGACATATGAAGTGAGAGGCAAGTCAGGAGTCCAGATTTTTGTTGCCTTTAATTCTGCTTCAGAACTCCACAATTTTTTTTTTCCTTTTTGATCGTACTTCTCATTCTTCCTCTTTATTCTCCCAGACTTGTTTTATTTTCCTTTTATTTTAAGGAAGAAGAAGATCTGTCAGAGTTGGAATCTGGGAAGCAGTGAACAAGTCTCTTCTCCATTCTTTCTCCATACACCCACCTGAAGCTCTGAAGGTGAAAGATTCTCCCAATGTTGCAGATTTCCTGGCAAGGGTTTGTTGGGATATTATTATAAGAGAGTTTTGAGGCATCCCCCTGCCTTACACAAAGAAAGAATCCTTGACACTTTGCCACATTGTATTATTCTGCAGTTTGCCTCACACAATCCATTTGATAAAAATTACAAAGCCAATCACATCTGTGACATTATATTGCCATCAAAAACTGCTGAATGGCTCAGACTTGGGAAGTTTATGTGGGGGTTGAATTCACTAGATCAGCCTGAATGGAGAAGGTCCAGGTAGATATACAGTCAACTTTAGCATTTTCCATTCAACCCATCAGTGAGTCTGGGAAAGTTAGCATGTCATTTGCTTCTCTGACTATATTCTCAGACATCCATCTGAAATTCCTTGATCCTGATGCAAGATGGACCAGTGCCAGAAAAGACAGTGCAACTTTAATTTAAAAGGTTTTTGAAAATCAGGTAAATTGTTTTAATGGTAGAGGTTGGAAGTTCCCCAAATATGAGATTATCAAAAAATAAATTAATTTCTATAAACAATCTTCCATTAGAAAATTTCTATTTTCAACTTTGCTTTTCCTGAAATACTTTCTAGTGCCCTTTCTCTAAAGGTTCTTCTGTCAACATCATTTTTTTTTTTTTTTAGTTAAATCTATTTGATGGTTTACTTTCAGATATATTACCTAAAGCCAATTGTCTGTTCTGTATTTATTTGCTCCCATAATCAATATAATCTGCAGTGAGCAGGCTGAATAGACTACCGAGGTTCTTTGTTTTAGGCTAAATATGAAGTTAGTTAGTCATTTTAGTCTAACTCTCAAATGCAAATTTGCTAGGAGGACTTTTCTTTACAGAATAATTTCTCCTGAATAGATAGTTATGTAGCATAAGGAAACTTCAACCTGCTGAATCAATGTAAAACTTATCAAATCAAAGAAGTGCAGACTTTTTAGAAATAAGTTTTCTTAATCATGGCTGATAAGTGAATTAATTATATTTCTACTTTAGGAATAGGGCTGCTTGCCTCCAAAGACCTCATGGTCTATGATTTTCAAACTTCTCTTGACATCATTATTACAGGCAACTTTTATTCAGAGCTTCCAATTGTGTGCTTATTAATAATAAAAATTACTAGTTATTATTTTCTTATTGTGGCCCAAAACTAGGTCTATGGGCACATTTATGTCCCCTCAAAATTCATAAGTCGAAGCCCTAACCCCCAGGGTGACTGTATTCAGAGATAGGGCCTTTAAAAAAGTAGTTAAGGTTAAATGAGGTCACGGGGGTGGGCCTTAATCTAATAGGGCTGGTGTTCTTAAGAGAAGAGGAAGACACACTAGGAATGCCTACATATAAAGAAGGGCCATGTGAAGAAACAGGGAGAAGATGGCTATCTACGAGCCAGGAAGAGAGGTCTCACCAGAAATCAATATTACTAGCACCTTGATCTTGGACTTCTAGCCTCCAAAACTGTGAGAAAATAAATTTCTGTTGTTTAAGCCACCTAGCCTAAGGTTTTTGTTATGGCAGCCCTAGTAGACTAATATACTATGTCAAGAACTTTAGATGCATCATTTCTTTTGATCTTTACAAAGATACTAAAGAAAATATGATTACTACCAGCTTTTCATAAATGAGGCTTAGAGTTGTTAAGTAAGTGTTCCAGTTTCATACAACTGATAAGGAATGAACCTAGAATAATCTTACATTACCTTCTACAGCCGCCCAAGATTGAGAAAGGATGTCTTTAGATGCTCATTAATGGGAATGACCAAGATGATCTTAACATGCTCCTCAGCCTGACTAATCTTTAGAAAGGTTCCTTCCTGACAATAAGCTCCTGTCCTATTAGAGCATTTAGTTTAAAAAGCTTACAACTGTATATACTTTCTTTGACCCTTTGAAATGTATATTAATCTTCTCCCAGCCTCTTGCTAATTTTACAGTTGAGGAAATCTCTTTTTTAAGTACCTGGGAAGCAGCTTTTTGAAATGTAAACATTGAAAGTAGTACTCCATTCTCCCAGTCTCCATGGGAAGGCAGGAGACTAAATTGGACGAGCACCAATTAGCAAATATAGACGACTTAATCATAGAGAAAAACTATTACAAACAGGAATAATTCGATGTGCTCTCCACATCCTGTTGACCTCTGCCCACCCCCACTGTCATCCAATACTTTTGCACAGCTCACCCCAGAACACTCCTTTTGCTTCAACAGAGTTCGATTCAGCCTTTCTGCTCTATTACAATGGTCCTGAATAAAGTCTTTCTTGCCTCTTTAACTTTGTTAAGCAAAACTTTTGCTTTGGCAATCTTTAAAGGGAACCATAAACTAAATATCTAGGATGGAATGTCAGTAAAATTTACCTTTTAAAAATATATGAAGAAGAGAGTGACACAATGGAAAGAGTCCGAGATACAGAAACCTCGAGGTTTGTGTTCAGAGGCTGTCAGAACTGATCATTCAGATATTTGGGTCACTGAAAAGTAGAGCAGGAAGCACCCAGTTTTCAAAATCTGTGTCTTAGTTTGAGTTCCCCAGAGGTATACCCTCAGGCAAGGATTCAAGTGCAAGTAGCTTGTCTAGAATATGAAAGAAACACCAGTGGTGAAGTGAGACAAGGAGTAAAGGCAGCCAATAGATTACTTTTTCAAGCCAGCTACTATTGGAGGTGATTGGGTGTTAATCTCTCATGGGAAACTTTGGAAGTCAGTGTAAAACGCAACACACAAAATGCAAGAGACTTGGAGTATTTGTGCACCAGCTCTTGTTGGGCACTGTTTGAAGACCATGAGTGTTAATTCCCAGCACTTCTTTCCTGCAAGGCAGGCAGGCAGGCAAAGCCCTCTGCTGGGGGAGCTTGTACAGGAGCAGAAAAAAATCCTCAGAAGAAAGGATGCAAGTAATGCAAGGAGGAGGCAAGAGAATTAAAAATGTTAAATCAAGCTACTTCCAGAGACTTCAATGTTCTGATCAGCCCTGCAGCTGGGCCAGGAGGACACCTGCAGAACAAAAAAAGATTTCTACTGGGATTGCTAACAACCCATTCTCCACACCTGTGCAGGGGAAACAGGAACAACAGACTTTAAGTGGCCCCTACACAAATAAAATCGTTCATAACCAAAGACTAAAACCATGGGGAGCCTATGATCGGGCTACAAATTCTCCCCTTCCCTGTATGTCCATATCAAAGGAAATGAGAGCTAAAGAATGATATATAATTGAATTCTCTGAACACTGAATTCCTTGAACACTCAAGGTTTCTCTTAACTCTCTACCTCTGAGAGGAAATCACACTCTGTCTGTGGAGTGTTACACCTTTTCTGATAAACTTTCCTTTTGACTCTAACTTTGGCATGTGTGTTGAATTCTTTCTACATTTTTCGCCAAATGACCCTCTTCTCCCGGTGCAGGAATTGGTGTCCTTCCCTCCACCCCCCCATCCCGCCCCTACTCAGGGAAATTTGCCCCATCTTGCATCAAACACACTGGGGAACAGACAGCACTGCTTTAACATCCTTAGAAAGAAAACATGCCAAAATCAGAGAGAGGTGGTTTGGGCACTTCGTTATAGGGGTTCTCTTTGGTTGGAGCCCCTAAAAATGTTCACTACATCAACACAGTGACTATTCTACAAAAAGTTGCTGAAGTCAGAAAAGAAATAAAAATACAGTTGTCAAATGACATCTAAGTCATTCCAGAAATAATTTAGGGAGAAATTATGTAAGAATCTGGGTAGCCCATTATCCTATTAGTGGAGGAGTCATGAAACAAAAGTTATAATACTAATAACTATAAAACATTGGTGCATATTTATAGATCTTTAGAGGTTATAAAGAATTTTGATTATTGACGATCAATTTCAAGTCAGTTATGTTGCCCTTGGAAGATAGCTGATGCTTATTTTGCTACTGTTGATGTATCTCAGAGCTCAATTATATCAAACCAGTTTTGGACATAGACTAAATAAATTCCAAATAAATGATCAACTCATATCTGCTGGAAGGTGACTAACATGTTACCATGTATTATATAATGCTTCTGCTTGGCTGTGCAATCTACTTGATTTTGAATGTTGGCAAATTTTTATACTTACAATAACCATAACTTGTATATGGTTTTATCTCTTATTTGATGAAACTGATGCCAAGAAAATATAACTCTTTTTAAGAACAGACATTCTTCAAAGTGGCAGAATGAAAACA